TTTTTTTTTTTTTTGTTTTTTTTTGTTCTGTATTGTTTTTAGTAGAAGAAAAAATTGACAGCATATATTGTGAGAAGATATCATTTCATGTTTCCATAACCGTTGGACTTTTTTTTGTTTATTTCGTTTTTTTTTTTCTCTTTTCTCTGTCCTTTTTTTTTCTCCTCCTTCCCTTGCTTATGAGTCTTTTTTTTTCCTTTGTGTGTGTGTGTGTTTCGTTTATATTTCACGTTCGTTCTATTTGCTTCTTTTATTTTTATGCTTGTTTCATTCCTCTTTGTTTTACACGGTGTAAACAAGAAGAAAAGAAAAAAAAGAGAAGAAAATCCCTTCTTGTTATTGTTTCCCATTCTTCATCTTCTCTATCATTGACAAACTTCTTATTTCTCTTTTATCGTTTCTTTTCTTTTTCTCTCTCTCTATATGCGTCTTTGTTTCATCCATTGTAAAGTAGAAAAAGAATATATATGTATATATAAAGAAAAGAAGAAGAACAGAAAAAGAAAAGAGTAAGAGACTATTCAAATCCAATTAGATAAAGAAAGAAAGAAAAAAAAAAAATGTACATTGGCGCAACAAAGCCCCACACGGCACACGTGGTGGAACACACTTTCCTTCTCTGCAAGCCAGATGCCGAACAGTATCACCGGTATATATTACAAACTGTATCCGATGCGGGTTTTCAAGTTCTCTCAAAGAGTTTCATCATCACACCTTCATTAGCAGAAGAAATCGCCAACACATTCCCAAGTGTACGACGCTCCATGGAGGCGGAACGTGGTGTGGAAAAACTACTTAGTGCCGGTAAAAACGCTGCAACCAGTAGTACGGCTGGGGCTAGTAGTACGAATATGAATCGTACACGTACAGCCGCAATGACAGTGGCTGGTGGGAGTAGTATTAGTACGAACAGTAGTGATCGTCGGATGATGTCGGGTGTTTGGCGGCGAGAACAGCATGATGCCCATCACGGCATTATTGCACAGATCCTTGAACTCACAAGTCGACATGATCTCCGTCGTGATGGAGTGAACGCCGGACTCCCAACATCCAACAATGAAGATAATGACAACCAAAGCGATGATCATAGTAATAATAATAACAATAATAATAATAATAATAATAATAATAATAATAATAATAATAATAATAATAATAATAATAATAATAACAATCATCAACAACATCCTCATAATCAGCAGAATGGTAATACCAATGGCTCCGACGCTGATGCTCGCAGCGATGCAGAGATGACAGGTGGTGATAGTGTAGGGGCTGCCGGAGGTCAAACCAACACCCAGTTGCAAATGCACCTCTCACAGCGTGAACAAAAGACAGATCGTCGCATTGGGGCTGCGGCTGCACTGAAGAATACAATGATTGAGGCCCTTTCCTATCAGGACCTTCTCCGTGAACATGTGCAGCATCTTGCCTTTGGCGGTACATGCATGGCGGTGGAACTCTCACGACAGAATGCGGTGGAACGATTACTTGAGATTGTTGGGCCGGAGAATCCCATTGATGCCCGCCGTGTTGCCCCCAACAGCATTCGTGCCCGCCTTGGTCGTGATTTAATTCGCAATGCCGTCTACGCCGCTTCCAATCTCGCCGAGGCGAGTCACTGCATTGCGGCGGTGTTTGGCTTCTCCACGCATTACTCCGCCGCCGACATTCGCCCGCACGCGGCCGCATTAGAAACGGGCGGCGGTGTTGAAAAGGACGACCGCACGAGCGGCGGGGCGGCGGGGGTGCGGCCGCACTGCGAGTTGGTGTGCCTCCCCCACCGCGGCCCGCTGCGGCTGGGGAAGACGGTGCGGGTCGAGAAGGCGAACCCGCAGGCCCACGTCGCCTTCTACACGGGGAGGACTTTGGAGGGCGAGTCCACCGACCGCGGGGAGAAGGAGGGCGGTGGAAATCCCGCCGCCGCCGCCGCCGCCGAGAGCCGCGCCTGGCAGCAGAAGGCCGAGCAGTTGGAGCAGGAACTCGCACAGGAGCGGACGGAATTGGTGACGCACGCGAAATTACTGCGGGCACGGGAGTTGGATTTATTACTACGCGAACATGCACTCGAACAGGCCACACAGGGACTGTTTGCACCGCCACAGCCATATCTGCAACGGTCATCACAACAATCGCAATCACAACAACGACCACAAAACTTCCCGGAACTCACAGAGAGGAGTCTTGAGGATGAGGAGACACCTATATCTTTCTTACCTCCTATCTTCTCAGGACGGCAGTCAACCCTCATTCCACACTCAATGGGGGATTTCTTTCCAGGAAAAGGTTGGGCTGCTTTGCGGTTGCAGTCGATGCGCCGCGTTACTCCCGCTATTGCCGCACAGATGATATCTGCTATGGCACCTGTTGTGGAGGCAGAGGATGTATCGCTGCTGTTATCAAAGCCAGTGCGTCTGCGTGCATTATATGCGGCTCTTCTGCAGTTTTCGGGGAATGGTGAACTTTTACGTGAGGATGTTGTCGCCCTATATGATCGTAGTCCCGCTGTTCAACTGTTTTGGCTGGATAACCATCATGAATTCTTTGAAAAGTACGTGAATGAGCATACTGAAGAACCAGTCTCCTTTGACAGCTTCGTCTCGGTATTGATGTTTTTACTGAAACAGTAATTGACATCACTTTTTTCTTGTTGTTGTTATTATTATTGCTGTTGTTATTGGTTGTCTTTTTTGTTGTTGTTGTTGTTGCTCTCCTTCCTTTTTTTTTTCCCCCAGTGTGCTTCGTTGTTTATTATTATTGTTATTGTTATTTATTTTTTTTTTTTTTTTTTTTTTTTTTTTTTTTTTTTTTTGCTTGTGAGTCATTTCTTTTTTTTTCTTATGTAAATAACGTGTACATATATATATATATATATATATATGTATATATATATTTTAGTTGTGACTGCTTCTCAGTATACGAAAGAAGAAAAAAAAAAAAACATGTACATACTCTTCACGTGCTCTATTGCTGCTTGTGAGGTTTACTGAGTCTTGCACTTTTTTTTTTTTTCTTGTTACTATGTGTTTTTCCCTTTTCTTGTGATAACTACCATAATGGGATGGTAATAATAGTTGAATGACCTTAATGGTGATGATGTGCTTTCTGTTACTCTATCCTTCTTTTCTTTTCCTTTTTTTTCTTTTTCTGTTCTTTTAATAGTTTTTTTTTCAAAGCGCGTGTATATATATACATATATATTTATTTATTTATTTATTTATTGTTTACATATATCTATATACTTTTAAGGGTTGGAAAAAAGAAAGAAAAGAAAGCAAAACATCTCCACAAAAAAAAAAAAAAAAAAGGAAAAGAAGGAAAACACACACACACAGTACTGCTAAGGTGCGGCAACACTAGCAATCGCACACGAACAAAGACAGTAAAAGGATCAGGGTCATTTAACACAAAGGAGGCCACACAAAGGTATTAAAGAAAAGAAGGAAAAGAAAGAAAAAAAAGTAATAGAGGCGAAAGAAGAGGAAAAGAAAAAAAGAAAAAAAGCGAAAAGAAGCAAAACAAAAGAAAAACAAAAACAAAGAAAAAAGAAAGAAGAAGCAACAGTTTTTTTTTTTTTTTTCTTCCTTGGGCAATACCAATTGTGTGTGTGTGTGCTTGCGTGATACTGAAGAAGAAGAGGGAAACAAAGGAGATTTAACATTCCCTTGAAGAAAAGAGTATTAACGCACAAAAAAAGGACAATAAAAAAAAAGAAAGAAAAAATAAAGCGAGAAGCAGAAAAGCCCCATTGCAAACACAATACAGAAAAGAAATAACTAGGGGAAGGAAAAAAGAAGAAAAAAAAGGATTAATTTGGGTGTTTGTGTGTGGTACAAAGAAAGAGAGAAAAGGATAAAAAAGAAGTATTTCGACGGCAAATACACGATACTCCCTTGACCACATTCCTTTTTTCCCATCACAAGCAGCAACAACAGAAGGGCATATATATATATAAATATATATATATATATATATATATATTATAGACGAACACGAGGAGAGAAAGAAGCATTAAAAGAAGAAGGAAAACAACAACAACAACAACAACTAAAGGCCCCATCAGAAACTGCCTTTGGAAGGTGTAACTGCGGGTAGTAACCACAAGTAAAACAAAGAAGCTAGGCGTTACAATAGCAGATAGTGTGCGAAAGTAAAGGAAGTAAAAAAGAAAAGGGGGTGTCACCAACTGATTAAACGAACAACAACAACAACAACAACAAAGGAAAAGAGAAAAAAAAAAAAAACAAAGCGAGAGAGAAAGAGAGTGGAATAAACAAAGTGGCAAACATACTCTAAAGTAGTAAAGAGAGCCATCCTTGTGTAAATAGACAAAAAAAAAAAAAAAAAAAAAAAAAAAAAAAAAAAAAAAAAAAAAAAAAAAAAAAGAGAAGAAAGAAAATATATATAATGGAACATCGAGCCATGGTTAATGTACCCCCTCGTATAGGCTCTGCCCCACTCTCGNAAAAAAAAAAAACAAAGCGAGAGAGAAAGAGAGTGGAATAAACAAAGTGGCAAACATACTCTAAAGTAGTAAAGAGAGCCATCCTTGTGTAAATAGACAAAAAAAAAAAAAAACAACAATAACAACAAAAACAAAAACAAAGAGAGAAGAAAGAAAATATATATAATGGAACATCGAGCCATGGTTAATGTACCCCCTCGTATAGGCTCTGCCCCACTCTCGCAGCCCCAACAGCCATTTCAGCGCATGTCATTTCACAATCAGAGAACTTTCCCCACTGCTCCCCCACGCCCGGGTGGTGAGAAACAACCACCGCCGCCATCACAACAACAACAACATCATCATCGACAACAGGCATCGGCATCACCACCGGCAGAAAATACGGAGGGGTCAACACTCGCAGGGACGTCCGGTTCCTCCACCGCCGATTACCCAGAGGACTGCATTTACAATATAAATGAATTTGTGAAGCTTCAACATACAAAAGAATCCCCACCAAGTGGTGTTCTCGCCTTTGCGAGTGCACTATGGAAAGAAATGCCTGAAAATAGAGACAGTAGGCCAGAGCACATTCTCTCTCGGGAAGAACTATTCCAGGGTGAATCTGTGCCATCTAGAGTGATGAGTGAACGCCGACTGCATAATGAGGTCCTTGGTATTCTTGGAAGGGTTAGTGATGGCAACCTGGAGAAGATGAAGAAAGAACTAACGGATTTGCCCATTCGACAATCCACTGATGAGGAGATTCAACAGGTAATTCAGGTAATTTTTAATAAATCTATTCAACCAGAGGACAGTATTTTCGTCCCACACTACGTCAAGCTGGTTTCGCACCTTATTAGTGACATTGGTGAGAATGAAGCCGCCGGTCGTCATATTCGAAATGCCATTATTCGACAATGCCAACATACTTTTGAACACTCTGAAGATGCGCAGGCACAACTTGAGCGGGAGATTGTAAATCTTCCAGAAGAAGAGGCGGAACAACGACGCCTTAACTTTGCAGGAAAGCAAAAGGCCAATATTAACTTTTTAGGTCTTCTTTTCACCCACGGTCTTGTCCGTGAGCGGGTAGTTCTGCACGTTCTTGATTGGCTTCTCTATGGAAGTAAACGCAAACGTCGTTTCCCTGCTGATTATGAGTTGATTCACTTTATGAACCTTCTTGTTACCTGTGGGAAATACTTCTCAGCTGAAGGACAGGAACTTGTACCAAAATTCCGTGATGTCTTAGAAGAATTAATGCGTACACATCCACAGCGTCGTATGCAGTTTTTACTACTCAACACTGTGGAAACGATAGACAATGGATGGGTTCCACGCTATGGACCTAATGCTGACAGGTCATCACAAGAAAATGAAACGGAACGTCGTCCTTTACCGCCAGTTCCCCCACGTAATAAAGTAACACCAGTAACTCCATCTAATCCAATTCCACCGCGTGATTGTTTCTGGGCGGCGATGGATAAATTTTTTGTTACAAGCAGTTCGGAAGAAATTATTTTGTTGTTGGCTGACATTCCAGAAGATACACGAATTGCATACTGTACTTCTGTTATTCATCGTTATATTACAACTGTGCGATATTCCAAACAACGGGCTCGTCTTGGTGAATTATTTGAAGAATTGGCGAATAAACGTGTCCTACCAGTTGAAGATGTACGCAATGCCCTTTTAATTCACCTTCGTGATGCCGTAAGGGAGGAATTGTTTACAGACATTCCAAAATACTTTTCCAACTATGCTGTTGTGATAAAGGGAGGACGTGATGTATTTCCTCAATCCCTTCACACCGATTTTCTTAACATTCTCGTCGACAGTGGAGTAAGTCGTGAGAAGATAGTAAGTATGGTGAGAGATGTACACAAGGTGCAAAGTGAGGGTCCAACAACTATTGAAACGGATCCAAAGTGCCGTTTCCGTGTACTTCCCGCATTATTGCGGTATACGCCTCCACTTTTTTCAGGATATGTAATGGATGAATCAGAAGACATATTAAGGCAAGTAAGTGAATATGATACCGATGTGAGTTACTTCTGCAGACTTTGTGAAGAAGAAGTGGATTCACGAGCCTTTTTTATGTTAACCAATGGATTAGGAAAAACCCCTCAATTGACGTATTCTATGATATCTGCCCTTTTCACCTTTGTCCGCTTTGATGTGAATACACTTTGCCGTGAGTATAAGGAGACATTAAAGAAGTTGATGAACTTTAAACAATTGCATCTTCTGCTGGAAGAGGTGTATGTGACTTGGTTAGCCCTTGACCGCACACCTGAAGACAGTTTCCCACTATTTGTCGAGGCACTCCGTTCATTAGGTGGGGCAAAGGATCAAATTGATAAGTTTAAGGCCAATCTCACGAAGAACTACGGTGCCACTGGGAAAAAGGATGCACTCCTGTTGAACAAGGCTAAATAAAATGATCATCTACACCATTTCCAAAGAAAAAGAAAAGAAGAAGAAGAAAAGAAAAGAAAAGAAAAGAAAAGAAAAAAAAAGAGAAAACAAAGGGGGTGGTGGGGGAAGAGCAATAATGAAAAGTAAAAGAATTTTGAAAAAAAGGAAAGAAAGAATAAAAAAGACAAAGCAAAAGAAAAAAAAAAAAGAAAAGTAGAAACAAAGAAGAAGAAGCAGAAGTAAGAAAGAAAAAGGTTCTGACCAACAAGTGTACAAGAGATCCATAACGAGTGAGAGAGAATTTTTGAGTCTGTGGCGTCTGTGAAGAAGAGGAGAAAAAAATAAAAATTAAACAAAAAGAAGAGGTTACAACTGAAGGAGAATAACTTTGAAGGAAATTGCCGCCTAAACAAATGAATAAAAGAAAGAAAGAAAGAAAGAGAGTACAAAGAAGCTGCAGGAAAGTTAAAGAAGAAGAAAACGAGAAAAATACAGAAAGTAACAGAGGAGGTTGTATGTGGATGGGAGGATAAATGAGAAAAGGGGAGAGAGTACGCCATAGTAAACAGGAGAGATGAATAATTTACAAAGGAAGAAGAAGAAGGAAAAAGAAAAAAAACGAAAAAGATAATATTCTTTATTCACTTTCCTAAACTCCCACCTGTTTTTTTTGTTTTTTTTTTCTTCTTGTGGTTGTTATTTTTGCCCATTACTTTCTTTTTTTTTTTTGTTCTCTTTTTATTATTATTGGGAGGACGTGTGTATTCCCCATATATGAAGGCTTTTTTGTGTACATACGTATATGTATGTATGTATGTATGTATGTATCTCTTCTTTATGTTTCTTTATTTCTTTCTCCCTTTCTCTCTCTCTGAGATTTGTGGGTTTCTGTGTGAACTTTTTCTTTATTTTTCTTCTGTTGTTTACTTTGTTTTTCTACTCCCCTTTCAAAACCCATTTTTGCAACTTGATTACGTAAATGAGTTGCACAATACCCCGGGTTTTTTTTT